GAGGTGGGGGAGGAGCCACGATACTGCTGCCTTCCTGGGGCCGGCACTGTGGCGTAGCAGGCAAAGCCGCTGCCTGCAGTGCCAGCTTCCCATATGGGCACCAGTTCAAGTCCCAGCTGCTCCACTTCTGATCCAGCTCCCTGCTGTGGCCTGGGAAGGTGGTGGAGGATGGCCCGGGTCCTTGGACCCCTGCACCCACATGGGAAACCCAAAAGAAGCTCCTGGCTCCTGGCTGCGTATCGGCTCAGCTCCAGCCATTGCAGGCCAATTGGGGCGTGAACCAGTGGATGGAAGACTCGTCTCTCTCTGCCTCTCCTTCTCTCTCTGTGTAACTCTTTCAAATAAAATAAATAAATCTAAAAAAAAAAGGATATACCACCCCTAAACATACCACTCTGACAACAAGGATTATGAGAGAAAGAAAGAGAGAGAGAGGAGAGAGAGAGAGAGAGAGAGAGAGAGAGAGAGAGAGAGAGAGAGAAAGGAAGAAAGGAAGAAAGGAAGAAACTAACTGCTGGCTTCCCACTCCAGAGGCCACCCTGCATCCTGCGGTCTTTGGTGGCCGGGCCTCGGGACACCCCTGCCAGGGGAGCAGGCAGCCTGCCCTGGGCACTGGGCGCCGTGGGACAGGCCCGGCCTTCTCCCTGAATCCCAGCGGTTGGAGACATTTGCGGGTCTGTAATCTCAGAGGGGTTGCCGGGCACGGGAGGTTCCTGGGGAGGAGATAAGCCGGCAGAACAGTGCTGCAGCCACACCTCGGCCACCACGGGTCCTCCTGCCAGGGGCTCACCACGCGGGTGTGGCCACTCTCACAGGGGCTGCTCCAGCAGGGTGCCCGCCGTGAGCCTGCATGGCACCTGCCTCCCCCTTGCCTGGTGGGGGTGCAGTATGGGGAGGAAGCTGCACACACAGGGCACAGTTCTCATCCTGGCTGCCCAACACTGAGGCTGCGCTCTCCAGGGCGGCGGGGGGGGGGGGGGCTCGTGGGGGCTGAGGCCCTCCGGCTAAGTGGGCACCCTGCCCTGCGTGAGGCTGAGCCAGCACAGCCCTTCTGTCCAGTCACCTCCTCACACGCACACCAGGTCCCCCAGGGTCGCAGTCAGTGAGAGCCGGCACAGCCCTTCTGTCCAGTCACCTCCTCACACGCACACCAGGTCCCCCAGGGTCGCAGTCAGTGAGAGCCGAGGAGCCCCCAGGACTCTGGGTGACTGATAGAGGAGGAGGTGTGGGCGGAGCAGGAGGCGGGAGAGCAACTTGCATGGCTGGGCTTGCACGGGGAGCTGAGGCCAGTGTTGGCCAAGTGAGCGAGCGGCAAGGGACCAAGGACAAACAGTCATATTCAAGAAAAGAGCGGCAGAAGCCATCAGTATCTTGCCCCGCTGTACCCATCTGCCCCTCCACGGCCTCGAGTCCTTCCTGTAAACACAGCAGAGGGCGGGAGCCCCTTGGGGTGGGGTCCCTATCAGGGAGGAAGTGCAGCCGGCTGGGCCCCATCCCATTTATCTCTTCTCCTCCATCCCCTCTTTATCACCAGGGGTGCTGCCCGGGCGCTGACCTTGTGCCAGAGGGCCTGGTGGAAGGCTGAGGAGGGCAGGGAGCAGGCAGGGCTCACAGGGTCCCACGGCCCTGGCGGGCAGCCACCTGGCCCCGGCCCAGGGCCCAGCATGGCTGCAGGTGTTCTCTGGGTCATGGGAGGGGACTCTGAGGGCGAGAGAGGACAGCAGGGGCAGGGCTGCCACCACGCCTTGTACGACACCCCCATACGCAAGGCCTGCAGGCCCTGGGGCTGACCAGCATAGAGCCTTGCTCAGACGGGGTTCCCAGGGCAGTGCAGATCCCCTCCTGCCTGCTCTGGATTAGGTGACCGGGGCTGGCCTAGCTCCACCTCACCTGTCCTGTCCCCGCCCCACTGTCTGCAGCCCTCCGCCCTCAGGCACCCCTCCCCTCCTTACCAGCAAGCTCAGGAGATCCTGCTGATGTGCTCAGTTCACCTGCAGGAGGCACAGCCTTAAGCTCGGCTGACTCTGAACGTGGACCATGGACCCAGGTTTGGGAAGCCAAGGCCGGGAAGGGTGCTCAGGCCATCGAATGACATCCAGAGAATCCAAAAGACTTGGGCTGCGATGCAGGACAAAGCAAATCAGACAAGCGAGGACGAGGACAATGCTACATTTTGCATTTCTCTTCAGAAAACTGGTTGGCCCAGTACAGAATAAGGGAGGCTCAGCAGGCGCTTCAGAGAGAGGGGCTGGGGGTGGGCGTGAGGCCACAGGGACCAGTCAGGAGGCCACAGGGCCCACTCTCCCAGGGGCTGCTCCAGCAGGGTGCCCGCCGTGAGCCTGCATGGCACCTGCCTCCCTCCTGCAGCATTTACTGACTGGTCTCTTTCTTGACTCCCACTCTCACACGTGTGCAGGAGGCAGCGTGAGCCCCCGCACGGGTGATGCCACACCAGGCCAGGTGCCTGTGCTTGTGTTAGTGTGACTTCTGTCCATCAAGTCAGATATTGAAGAAGTTTGCAAAATAAAACAAGACTATCATGTTACTAAATGAGCTTTGCTTTGCAAAATGGTTATGCTGAAAAAAAATTGTGCTCCTTTTGTGAACTTCTATTAGATTCATTATTGTTATTTTTAAAGACAAACAGGAACGCTCTGTTCCTGCTAGTGTGGTAAGCACAGACAGACACACTCTCTAAGTCACCATTCTTCGGGTCCTTGCCTCTAGGCAGGTGCAGAGGCAGCCCTGCAAGGCTGGTCCCCACAGACGCTGGCTGAGTGGAGGCGGGCGGACCACACAGTCAGCACCACACACCCGGGCTCTGGGCTCTGCCCACAGCCTGCGGCACACAGGTGGTGAAGTCGGCGGAAGGTGCACTCGGAAGTCGGGGCAGCAGCAGCCAGAGCGCGGGGCTTGGATGCCCCCAAATCCCGCTCCCGGATCAGCAGCTGGGGCCTGCGGGTCCCCGGGGAGCTGCTGGTCTCAGGGCTTTAGGTCTGTCCTCCTGGGGGACAGTGGCCACTCTGTACATCACTGTCTCCCAGCGCTGAGCTCAGTGCCTTCGGCTCGAGACACTGCAGGACCGGACCCTGCAGCCGGCGTGAGCAGCAGACGCGCCAGGCAGCAGGCCCCTTCCTCAGCAGGGGCTGGGAGAGCTCAGCACCCCTATCTGTGGGCGGGGCGTGGCCGGGGACTGGGCCCTCTGCGGGCTGGCAGCACCACCTGGTGGTGGCAGCAGGGACTAGCACTCTCCGTCCTCCCCAGCAGCACCCTTGGGAGGGGCCCCAGGCTTGCTGGCCCTTGGCTGAAGGAGTTGCAGGACCCAAGGTCATGTCCAGGTCACCTCTCTTCTAGGGGGTGCTGACATATGGGAACACAGGCCTGAACCCCAGCCGGCTCACAGGGACCTGTGTGGGGGAGGCCACGCTGAGGCTCCCTCTGCCCCCCCCGCACCATGGATGACGGCTGTGTGCAGAACCCCCACGGGTATCTGTGATGCGTGGTGATGGCCATGCCCTTGACTGCCGGGAGTCCTCCTTGACCCCTGCAGGAGCCCCACAGAAGCCAGAGCGAGTGGCCTGTGCCTTGGCCACTCGGGCAGGCTGTTCGCTTGGAAGGCTGGAGGAGCCAGCACTACCCAGCACACTGGGGACCACCGTAACCTTCGGGCATCTTCCTGTACATCACCCGAAAGGGGCAACCCGGGAGCAACATGGCCCCCCGGCACCCTTAGGGAGCCACCTGCAGCCAGGGTCCAGGGCACTGCTGGAACCTTCTGGGTCATGCAGGTGCTCTGAGCCCATGCTGTCCTGAGCCACGGAGCACCATGGCTGATGTGGCTTGGGAGCTGAGGGGTTTACTTCTATTGTTGAAATAACCATTTTAAAAATGTAAATATATGTATTTGAGAGGCAGAGAGCTCCCCACCACCTGATCACTCCCCAAAGGTCTGCAACAGCTGGGGCTTGGGGGCAGGGCCGGAGCCAGGGAGCTGGGAACTCCACCCAAGTCCCCCATGCGGGTAGGGGAGGCCCGAGGCATTGAGCCATCACCGCTGCCTGCCAGGGCCCACATCCGTGGGCAGCTGGAGTCAGGAGCCAGAGCCAGGAACTGAACCCAGAGGACTGTGCCCGGCGTCCTAACTGCTACATCAAACGCCTGCCCAATCCAATGGTAGCTATTTTAAGTCTAAGCCTTCTCCATCCAGTGGCCGAGGTGGCCACAGTGCGAGCGCAGGTGGGGAAAGTGATGACCACACGCAGCAGCCTCAGAGTCACGAGGAAAAGCCTGGCTCTCCCAACATGCCCTCAACCCGCCCTCCTCCCGGCAAAGCCGTGCCTCCGAGTCCACTCGCCTTTCCCGACCAGGAGACCCTCATGCCCACTCACGACGCGTGAGAAGCCCTGGGTTCAAGAGCTTTTCAGCCGCACAGGCACACAGAGCGACTACCTCGGGACAGACACGGGCAGGAGCGCCTTCCCGTGCACGCGGCACCCTGGGCCCGTCAGCCACCTGCACCTGCTGCCCTGGGAAGGCCTCAGGTGCAGCCACACGCGCCTCAGGGGCGGGACTGATGGACCCTGCTCCTCGGGGCCCACCTGAGAATGGGACCCCTCCTCTGCAGTTTGGGACGGTGCTGTCAGGCCCCTCAAACTGTCCCCACCAGAGGCGGCAGGGGGTGGTCAGGGCGGGGAGTCCTCAGGGAGCGTGCTCGCCCCCCGGGAGGTGCCCCAGGAAGGGCAGCTTCTTCACGGGTTTGCTCCAGTCTCTGCTCTCAGGGAGTCCCCGGTAGCACCCCACCCTCCTTCCCGGAATCTGTTGCCCCGCACTTGCTCCCGACCCCGCTCACACCTCAGCTTCCGGTTTGCAAGCGCCTTCTGCACACGCCCCCAGCCCCACCCAGCCCCACGTTCCCCTCCTGCACTGGGCTCCCAGGTGGGCGGCAGGGGCTGCGTCCCGAGCTCCGCCTGGTCAGAGCCTGGAGTAGGCAAGGCCGCGGGCAGAGCGGGGCAGACGCGTTTATTGATCAGCGTTGAACAAGGAGGAACCCGGCACTGATTCACATTGAGACAGAGGCTCGGAAGGGAGGTCCTTGTGTGGAAGCCGGGGCTCCCCGGGGGGCAGGGTTCTGGCCGCAGGGTGCACTTGCTCAGTGACCTCCAAGCTTCGAGTCCTGCAGCTGAACCTCAGCCAGGGGGTCTCCTTGGGCCCCTGGGCAGCAACCACGGTGGCAACTGACGCGAGGGCCGGGGGCGCTGCTCCCCTCTGTATCAGAACACAGCATAGACAGTGGCAGTGGTGACGGCTTCCACAGGACGGCTGCTGCGGGCCAAGTCTGCCCCAGGGGTCTCCAGAGTCTCCTGGTGGTGGCAGCCACGTCCCCCAACTGCCCCCCCAAGCAAGGAACGTCACAGGTTCAAGGGTCTCACCCGACTTCTCAGATGGCAGCCACCCACCACCTGGCCCCAGAGCCCTAGAGCAAGTGTCCAGACAACACGGGTGGGAGGCCCTCGGCAGCCCTGCCCAGGTCAGGTGAGCACAGACGGGCAATGGGACGTGGTGGTGGTGACCCTCTGGCCGTTCGCTGTGGGGGTGACCCTCTGGCCGTTCGCTGTGGGGGTGACCGTCTGGCCGTTCGCTGTGGGGGTGACCCTCTGGCCGTTCGCTGTGGGGGTGACCGTCTGGCCGTTCGCTGTGGGGGTGACCATCTGGCCGTTCGCTGTGGGGGTGACCCTCTGGCCGTTCGCTGCGGGGGTGACCCTCTGGCCATTCGCTGTGGGGGTGACCCTCTGGCTGTTCGCTGTGGGGGCTCAGGAAGAGGGCCTGGGTGCATTGTCATGCCTGCTGGATGCTCAGCCAGCACTTGCAGTCCCCTGCGGAGTGGGGCGTCTCCCTGGGCCTGTGGCAGGGCAGGGGTGGGAGGGGAGGAGTGGGGTGGGCTGCAGGGGCAGAGGGGGAGGGCGGTCAGGAGAGCTCATTGCCGAAGACCTCGAGCACCAGGGGCGTGAGCTTGGTGCTGCTCCCCGGCTGGAAGGACAGGCAGCGGTACTGCTTGGAGTGCTCCTCGTTGAGGCCGCGCAGGTCTGCCAGCTTCTGGATCATCTTGGCGTAGAGCTGGTGGCTGCCCGGCGGAGGGTGGCGGCAGCGGATGTAGGTCTGCAGCGTGTTGGACAGGCGGTCCTGGATGGCCTCCACCAGCCGGGTGTCCTGCACCCCGGGACGGTCTGGGCGTGGGGAGGGGGGCACAGGGCTCAGCCTGCAGCCCCCACTCTCCCTGCCTCGCCCCACCCAGCATTCTGTGGCCCCAGCCACACCTGCTGGAACCCACCGTCCTGTGCTTTGGGTCAAGTCCTACTTCCACCTCCACATCCTGTGCTCTGTCCATCAGTCCCTCTGTCCTGGAGCTCCGTCTCCACTCCCTGTCCCTCTGTCCTGGAGCTACGTCACCACTCCCTGTCCCTCTGTCCATCTGTCCTGGAGCTCCGTCTCCACTCCCTGTCCCTTGTCCATCTGTCCTGGAGCTCCATCTCCACTCCCTGTCCATCTGTCCCTCTGTCCTGGAGCTCCGTCTCCACTCCCTGTCCCTCTGTCCATCTATCCTGGAGCTCCGTCTCCACTCCCTGTCCCTCTGTCCTGGAGCTACGTCACCACTCCCTGTCCATCTGTCCATCTGTCCTGGAGCTCTGTCTCCACTCCCTGTCCATCTGTCCCTCTGTCCTGGAGCTCCGTCTCCACTCCTGTCCATCTGTCCATCTGTCCTGGAGCTCCGTCTCCACTCCCTGTCCCTCTGTCCATCTGTCCTGGAGCTCCGTCTCCACTCCCTGTCCATCTGTCCATCTGTCCTGGAGCTCTGTTTCCACTCCCTGTCCCTCTGTCCTGGAGCTCCGTCTCCACTCCCTGTCCCTCTGTCCCTCTGTCCTGGAGCTCCGTCTCCACTCCCTGTCCCTCTGTCCATCTGTCCTGGAGCTCCGTCTCCACTCCCTGTCCATCTGTCCATCTGTCCTGGAGCTCCGTCTCCACTCCCTGTCCATCTGTCCATCTGTCCTGGAGCTCCGTCTCCACTCCCTGTCCCTCTGTCCATCTGTCCTGGAGCTCCGTCTCCACTCCCTGTCCATCTGTCCATCTGTCCTGGAGCTCCGTCTCCACTCCCTGTCCATCTGTCCATCTGTCCTGGAGCTCCGTCTCCACTCCCTGTCCCTCTGTCCCTCTGTCCTGGAGCTCCGTCTCCACTCCCTGTCCCTCTGTCCCTCTGTCCTGGAGCTCCGTCTCCACTCCCTGTCCCTCTGTCCATCTGTCCTGGAGCTCCGTCTCCACTCCCTGTCCATCTGTCCATCTGTCCTGGAGCTCCGTCTCCACTCCCTGTCCCTCTGTCCATCTGTCCTGGAGCTCCGTCTCCACTCCCTGTCCATCTGTCCATCTGTCCTGGAGCTCCGTCTCCACTCCCTGTCCATCTGTCCATCTGTCCTGGAGCTCCGTCTCCACTCCCTGTCCCTCTGTCCCTCTGTCCTGGAGCTCCGTCTCCACTCCCTGTCCATCTGTCCATCTGTCCTGGAGCTCCGTGTCGCTCCCCCTCTTTGTGGAGGAACGACACAGGACCCTGCACTGTTCTTTTGTCTGCTCGGCCCTCCCCGGGTTTGCTGCTGGTTGTTCCCGGGTTGGCTACCGTCCCTTCCACCTCCATGGAAGGGCGGTTCCCCCTGCCACTTTCCCCACTTCCGCGGGGGAGCGGCACACCGCCGGCCGGCTCTCTCGGGGGCTGCACAGGTGTTCCTTCAGATAGATGTTCCTGGTGCATGTTGTCTCTCTCCTCCTTTATAGTCCTCTTCCACCAATCCCAACTCTGCTACCCACACGCCAAGTACGCTGCTCTCCTCCAATCAGGAGCAGCATCAGCTCCTGCAGGTCATCACTCAAGTTTGCGAGAGGCAGCTACGTAGAAGTTGTTACTCCCTTCTCAGTGCCATATTGTGGGAGAGCAGATGCATAGAATAAGTCTTAATTCCAGTAACAGTCTAGTCCGAGTTGCTCCCCACAGCTCCGTCTCCACTCCCTGTCCCTCTGTCCCTCTGTCCTGGAGCTCTGTCTCCACTCCCTGTCCCTCTGTCCATCTGTCCTGGAGCTCCGTCTCCACTCCCTGTCCCTTGTCCATCTGTCCTGGAGCTCCATCTCCACTCCCTGTCCCTCTGTCCTGGAGCTCCGTCTCCACTCCCTGTCCATCTGTCCTGGAGCTCCGTCTCCACTCTCTGTCCATCTGTCCATCTGTCCTGGAGCTCTGTCTCCACTCCCTGTCCCTCTGTCCCTCTGTCCTGGAGCTCCGTCTCCACTCCCTGTCCCTCTGTCCATCTGTCCTGGAGCTCCGTCTCCACTCCTGTCCATCTGTCCATCTGTCCTGGAGCTCCGTCTCCACTCCTGTCCCTCTGTCCATCTGTCCTGGAGCTCCGTCTCCACTCCTGTCCATCTGTCCTGCAGCTCCGTCTCCACTCCCTGTCCCTCTGTCCTGGAGCTCCGTCTCCACTCCCTGTCCATCTATCCTGGAGCTCCGTCTCCACTCCCTGTCCCTTGTCCATCTGTCCTGGAGCTCCGTCTCCACTCCCTGTCCCTCTGTCCATCTGTCCTGGAGCTCTGTCTCCACTCCCTGTCCATCTGTCCTGGAGCTCCGTCTCCACTCCCTGTCCCTTGTCCATCTGTCCTGGAGCTCCGTCTGCACTCCCTGTCCATCTGTCCTGGAGCTCCGTCTCCACCAGGGTCCCCATCAGCCTCCCTCTGTCAGTCAGTTGTTGAACCGCAGCAGGAGCAGGTGCCTGCCCAGGCTGCCTGGGGCACGAGCCAGGGCCCAGCCTGGTGCCCGGTATCCGCCATAGCTGCGGGGCCTGGGGCTCCCCTCACTCTGACGCTGGGGCACGGAAGCTTCTTCCTCAGCCTTTTTCCCTCTCCCTGCCCAAACAAGCGGAAGAGGGGGGTCCAGGCGGTGCCACCCCCAGGCCCTGACTCTGAGGAGCTGCAGCCACAGGAAGCCCAGCCGGCTCCACAGAGAGCAGGCCCCGGTCTGGAGGACACCCAGGCCCACACAGGACCACCGAACCCGGCGCTTTGGCTCCTCGGTGACCTGCGGTCTCCACAGAGCAAAGCCGTGGTCTCAGGGGCCCTCAACACAGGCAGCAAAGCGGTGCCTCGTGGGCCTCTCCGCCTGGGGCCCTCTGTCCTGCCCGCTCCCCGCGGCCGGGCACACCTGGGGACACGATGCAGATGGCCATGAGCAGCACGTGCTCTTCCTCGTGCAGGTTCAGCTTCTTCAGCCCCACCTGGAACTTGATGAGGGGCTCGATCAACTCCAGACTGTGTCCAGCTGGGGGAGACAGGTGCGTGCTGCGGGCAGGTCTGGAGCCACCATGCGCCCCCCCCCCCCGGCCCTCCGTGGGCTGGACGCACCTCTGGTCACGTCGCTGATGTTGTACTTGTAGTCCTGGCTGCCGCAGTCCCAGGACATGTCATCCGTGGTGAAGGACTGGTTAGAGCGCAGCATGATGACTTCGATGGCACTGGACTTGAGCAGCACGATCTGGTCTTCGGAGGTGAGGTCCCTGAGGGGAGGGGCCGACACGACAGCTCAGTGCACCTGGAGCCCAGGTGACAGGTGAGCCCCAGAGCCGAGCAGCCGGGCCCCCCTGCGCGCCCACCCCAGCTCTGCAGGGCTCCCCTCCACACAGCCCCCGGCTGGGGCCGAGGTGGGAGCGGTGGCAGTAGGAAGGCAGGGCAGGCGGTGGGGTGGGTGTGGAGCCAGGCTGTGTTTCTGAGCACAAAGCCACTCATCAGCAGCCCACGGGAAAAGGGACACGCAGAGCCACTCCCCTCGGCGCCCCCAGCTCGTCCTGGGCTCTGATCCCCGGTCTGGCTGTTTGTGAGGGGCCTCCCGGGAAGCACACGCCGCTGGGACGAGAGCCTCCGTCTGAGTCGCCAGCGGGGCCTGCCTGAACACGGCCAGGAGGGGCAGACCCAGGCTCTCCCCTGCCGGCTTCTCCTCCTGACGGATACTCCAGAGAGCGGCCGCACGCATGCGCATCAGGACAGGCAGCCCTGATGGCTCCATGTCTGCTGGGATGGCCGCCCGCATCTGCATGGAGCAGCCCAGGTGTGGGAGCAGGCGGGGCCCCCTCCAGCGCCTGGCCTGACACTGCCTCCACGGGACGCAGCTGGAGCCGGGTGCTCGCGGCCCACACGGTGCCGCAGTCCCGGAGCTGCGCTCGGCTGCGGGGACCGGAGTCTTGCCTCGTTTCCCAGGAAGAACGTCATGCGTGCCGACGCTCTCCCCTACCCTCAGTCCTCATTTTAACATAAAAACCGACCCCACCCCACTTGGGTTTAGCTCATCAGACAAGTAAACCATAGCTTCTCATACATCCCTGGACAAAACAGAAAAAATACAAAGGCAAAGAACAAGGGCTCAGAATGCGCCAAGCATGCGGCGCGCTCCCTGTCATCCGTCTGCGCAAACTCGCGTTCTGCAGCCCACTTCCTGTGTCAGTGAAACTCCCGCAGCCCACTCGCGGCGGGTGCGCACCTGACTCACCCCATCAGCCTCCCCTTCGCCTGTTTGTGGACGTTTTGGTCACTTGTCACCCCTCCCACCCAGAATAGTGCATGGTGTGTGAGTGTGGTGGCATGTACAGGCGTGGTGGCCCGTGGTGGCATATTCAGGTGTGGCGAGTGTGATGTGTGTACAGGTGTGGCGAGTGTGATGTGTGTACAGGTGTGGCGGTGGGTACAGGTGTGGCGAGTGTGATGTGTGTACAGGTGTGGCGGTGGGTACAGGTGTGGCGAGTGTGATGTGTGTACAGGTGTGGCGAGTGTGATTTGGGTACAGGTGTGGCGGTGGGTACAGGTGTGGCGAGTGTGATTTGGGTACAGGTGTGGCGGTGGGTACAGGTGTGGCGAGTGTGATGTGTGTACAGGTGTGGCGGTGGGTACAGGTGTGGCGAGTGTGATGTGTGTACAGGTGTGGCGAGTGTGATGTGTGTACAGGTGTGGTGAGTGTGATGTGTGTACAGGTGTGGCGAGTGTGATGTGGGTACAGGTGTGGTGAGTGTGATGTGGGTACAGGTGTGGCGAGTGTGATGTGGGTACAGGTGTGGCGAGTGTGATGTGTGTACAGGTGTGGTGAGTGTGATGTGTGTACAGGTGTGGCGGTGGGTACAGGTGTGGTATTGAGTGCATGGACCTGAGCACGGTGCTGAGTGCTGAGCCTGTGGCGCTTGGCAGAGATGTCAATGGCGTTGCTGCTCACCATGACCTAGACAGGCCGCTGCCACAAAAGCAAAGCCACATGGACCCACATCCCCACCCACAGCCTGGAAACACAGGACACTGTAGGTACAGCCACAGCCGGAGCGGGGGACAGAGGTGGGTGGGAGGTGGCGCTCCAGAGGAACCCAGTATGACCACTCCCCATGCCAGCCAGGCGCTTCCTGGATTGTGAGCCCCTGCTGGGTCCCTGGGCTGTGGCTGGGTTGTGCTGCCCCGTCCTCCCCACCCAACCAGGGCTGTGGCCCTGTGGTAGGGGAGTTGCTCCCTGTGTACGCCCCCCAGGAGGCAGGGACGGTGTCATGGCCACGCCCATGCCCAGTGCCAGAGGGCTGAGCACAGGGGAGAAGCCCCGGGAATGCATGTACAGGGGCCACCACTGCCCCCTTTGCCAGCCTCTCCCATGGCACCAGCTACTCCAGGGACCTGTGTGGGGCAGCCCAAGGGCTGGGCACAAGCAGGAGCACAGCCACAGCAGCCATCGCCCTCCCCACGCCGGGGCCCGCCCACAGCAGCGAGAGCAAAGTGTGGTCGCAGCAGAAGCCGGGCAGGCCCCGAGCAGCCACACCAGGAGCTTCTGCAGCCACCACAGGCACAGCTGCCCCAGGAGGGCTCACTCCACACGTGTCCATCACTTCCTGTCTATTGGTCAGTCACAGTGCAAGAGGGGACCTCGTAAACTCTGAGGACAAGGGAACCGAAAGAGATTTATTTAGGTAGAAAAAATGTTTAACTCTATGCACAGGAGGAATCTATAGAGATCATGAAAAGTGAATATGAAAACACTGTGCACATTTGAAAAATGATTTTTGGACAAAAACATCTTTTAATTCCCTGCAATTCTTGAAGTCTCTATGTGCATTAATTCCATGGCAATGGAACATATCAATTTTAGAGAGAAGGAGGGTGCAGAAACACATAGCTGTAGACACAGTGGTCTCACCACATATCCACAAGGAAGGTACAGATACACTCAGATACAGACACATGGTCTCACCATGTATCCGCAGGGAGGGTGTAGATACACTCAGATGCCGACACAAGTTACACCATGTAACCACAAGGAGGGTGTAGATACACTCAGATGCAGACACAAGTTCTCACCTTGTACCCACAGGGAAGGTGTAGATATACTCAGATACAGACACAGGTTCTCACCTTGTACCCACAGGGAGGGAGTAGATATACTCAGACGCAGACACACGGTCTCACCACATATCCACAGGGAGGGTGTAGGTACACTCAGGTGCAGACACAGGTTCTCACCATGTGCCCACAATGAGGGTGTAGGTACACTCAGATACAGAAACAGGTTCTTACCAAGTATCCACAGGGAGGGTGTAGATACACTCAGATACAAACACAGGTTCTCATCACATACCCACAATGAGGGTGTAGGTACACCCAGATATACATACATGGTCTCACCATGTATCCTCAGTGAGGGTGTAGGTACACTCAGGTGCAGACACAGGTTCTCACTATGTATCCACAGTCAGGGTGTAGATACACTCAGTTGCAGAAACGGTCTCACCACGTACCCACCGTGAGAGTGTAGATACACTCAGATGCAGACACAGGTTCTCACCGTGTGCCCACAGTCAGGGTGTAGATATACTCAGATACAGACACAAGTTCTCACCATGTCTCCACAGTCAGGGTGCAGATACACTCAGATGCAGATACACGGTCTCACCACGTACCCACAGTGAGGGTGTAGGTACACTCAGGTGCAGACACAGGTTCTCACTATGTATCCACAGTCAGGGTGTAGATACACTCAGATGCAGACACAGATTCTCACCACATATCCACAAGGAGGGTGTAGATACACTCAGATACAGACACACGGTCTCACCACATATCCACAGGGAGGGTGTATATACACTCAGATACAGACATAGGTTCTCACCACCTATCCACAGTGAGGGTGTAGATACACTCAGATGCAGAAACAGAATCACCACATACCCACAGTGAGCGTGTAGGTACACTCAGATGCAGCCACACGGTCTCACCACATATCCACAGTCAGGGTGTAGATATACTCAGATGCAGATACACGGTCTCACCACATATCCACAGTCAGGGTGTAGATACACAGATACAGACACACAGTGTCACCACATATCCATAGTCAGGGTGTAGATACACTCAGATGCAGACACACAGTCTCACCACAGTCAGGGTGTAGATACACTCAGATGCAGAAACAGAATCACCACATACCCACCGTGAGGGTGTAGATACACTCAGATGCAGACACACAGTCTCACCACATATCCATAGTCAGGGTGTAGATACACTCAGATGCAGACAAGGTTCTCACCACGTATCCACAGTCAGGGTGTAGATACACTCAGATGCAGACACAGAATCACCACATACCCACAGTGAGGGTGTAGATAGACTCAGATGCAGACACAGGTTCTCACCACATATCCATAGTCAGGGTGTAGATACACTCAGATGCAGACACACAGTCTCACCACAGTCAGGGTGTAGATACACTCAGATGCAGACACAGAATCACCACATACCCACAGTGAGGGTGTAGATAGACTCAGATGCAGACACACGGTCTCACCACGTACCCACCGTGAGGGTGTAGGTACACTCAGGTGCAGACACACAGTCTCACTAGGTATGTACTGAAAGTAACAACAGTCTACTGGTTTAAGAATATCAACACCACCTGCATGGTTAAATAGAAGCTTCACACACCACTGCCAACAGGAGAACACTGGACTAAAAAGTGGAACTCCTCTGAGTGACCTCACTCACGCGCCTGCTGGCTTGGAAAAGACCAGGTCACGGCCACCACTGCCACGCGTCCTCTGGCTTCCTGCACTGCTCCCTGTCTCCTCTCTGTCAGTTTTTCTGGCTCAAGACTGTGTGCAGAGGCATCAGCAGGCTGCAGTTAGAGGCACAGTCTGGGGGTGAGGTCCGCTGTGGACGCGCCAAGGGGCTGGCTCCAGCTCCAGGAAGGAGCCCCTGGTGGCCACCGAGATGCTCGGGGCTTTCCCTCCATCTCAGGCATGGGGAGGGGTCATGTTCCCAACAGGCCCTGGAGCCAGCAGGGAGGCCTGCACTTCTGGACACACAGATATGGGCTGGCTTGAGTCTGGTCAGCGGCAGTGGACTGGGGGCCCCAGGCCACGGGTCCTGAACCCTGCTCCAGGCGTGACGGAGCCTCTCACCTGAACCCTGGGATCATCTTGGCAAAGCCGATGACCTTCTGGATGCTGTAGCTGACCAGGTCTGCCAGGTGGGGCAGCATGGAGAGATGCGACAGGTCCAGCGTCACCGAAGGGTCATCTGAATCTTCCTGGTCCTGCTCCAGGCTGGAGAGGCTGGACGGCTCCATCAGCTCTGGGGAAGTGGAGGGAAGAGGAGGAGCTCACCCCGCATGCCTCACGGAGGCGCCGGGGTCTGCGTGGGTGTGGGGGGAACCAGATGTGTGCACTCAGGGACCACAGCGATGCCGCTCATGGACAACAGGAGCCAGGCGAGCATCCAGGTGCCCCAGGTACACACCCGTGACACAGCCGGGCGCAGGTGTGTCGGGATCGCAAGAGGTCTGCAGGGTGTCACAGAAAACACACAGGATGGAAAAACCATGCACGACTTGAAGAAACGTTTGCACCAAAATCAGTATCTTTCCTTCTATTTCCCACGAATGTTGTGGGAACTCTCCAGGGAAGACCTTCCAGCATCTATCCACGATAAGCATCTTCTAAAATGAAAAGCGCTAACTTGTGCACACAGACACTGAGTGCGTCACAGCTGGGGTTCACGCCCCCTGTCAGTCAGCTGTAAGTGGCGTCACTCCAGCTGGCACGGAGCTGCCGAGACGCGGAAGGGGGACTTGGATGGCAGTGGGGAAGGGCAGGAGTGGGTGCAGAATTAGCACAGGGGGCCCACACCAGAATCTGGGGGTGGGGATCTTGCTGGCACTGACCCCTCCCATCTGTCCACCCATGAAGCTTCATCTGCCGCCTCTGTCCAGGCCGTGCTGGGACCCCATCCACCCATCCTGGTCCCAGCACTGGGGCCGCAGGTGGCGGATCAGGGGCTCAGCTTGCTTGGAGTGAGGGCTTTCTCCATCCCCATCCTCCTAACAACCCCTGGTGTGGGACAGCAGGGCCAGTTGAGGGGCGGAGGGAGAACAGGGCAGGTGGCAGGGTGAGTGGTCAAGGGGTGTGAGAGGAAGAGCCGTCTCCCACGTGCAGGTGGCAGGGCCCAGACTGGGGGTGCTGCAAGAGGCTACTCCAAATGCCCCCTCCCAGGGGACTTGGGGACAAAACACTCTCACAAGGAGCCAGGAGAGCTCCAGGGAACGGCCATGGGCAGAACCTGGCCCCACAGAAGGGGCCTGGGCGAGAGGCGGACCCTAGCCTGGCCTCCTCCCAGCACAGGCCTGGGGCACGTTCCCCCACCCCGGCCAGTGCACTGGGCTGGGCTCTCGCAGGGGGCCCTGGGTACCTGAGAAGGAACTGAGGTGGTCTGAGCCCGAGCAGCAGGAGTCCCCGGAGCAGCTGGGTGTGGGCTTCCACGGGTGGCTCTGTCCACGCTCCGCCTCGCGGATCGGAGGCTGCAGGGAGACACGGGGTCTCAACTCTCCCATCTCCAGGGAGGCCCATGGGCCAGGGCTGTCCAGTGCTCCAGGGCCAGGAACCTGCCAGGCTGGGCCCCACCCCCACCCCGCTCCTGCTGCCGGCAGCACACACCCGGAACTGGCAGAAGTCGGCATAGGTAGGGTCGTAGGTCTTGTGGTGGGCGTCCAGCAGGATGGCAATGATGCGCTGCTGCTCGTCGGACAGCCTGGGCCGCAGACTGTCCCTCAGGGCCTCCTCCTCCTTCCGCTTCAGGATCATCTCCCGCTTCCGCTGCACCTCCTCATCCGTCAGGATGACTGCGGGAGGGGTGGGAAGCGCGGGCAGTCGGCGACCGCCTGGGCCCGCACAGGCATGCGGGGGACCTGGGGGTCTCCAGGTGAGAGGCAGGCGCCTGGGAGAAGAGGCAGAGCCCAGGCCAGGCAGGAGGGCCCCTTCCCAAGCACAGACTTCAGGAGGTGGGGACCGCAGGCCCCCGGGACGGGCTCAGCACACACGCCCGCCCTTTCTTGCTCCTTCCTCTAAATGGTGCAGGCGTGTGCGTGTGCGCACGTGGGTGCACGTGAGTGTACAGCGGCAGCCCCGTCTGGAAGGCTGGGCCATGCTCGGATGGGAGGCTGTGCAGAGCTCCCTGCAGTGCCCAGCCCGTGCCCCAGGTCCCACCCACACCCACCCACACAGGACGCGGCGCCTGCCTGCGGGCACAGCAGCCCCTCCCCCGCCGGCCTGGCCTCGGCATTTCTGCCCAAGGCGGTGCCCGCATGCTGCCGTCTCTGGCCCCAGCAGGCCTCGGAGGCTGCCTGCCCGGCTGTGCCGGGAGCGGGTGCCCAGGCCTCGACTTGCAGCTGCTCGCTCTGAGGCGCTGCCAGTGCTCTGCCCACAGAAGCGAGGCTTTCCCAAGAGCAGCAGCAGGAGCCAGAGCCCCACGCTGGGTCCCGGAGCTTCGGCAAAGGCCGACAGGGCCCGGACCTCATGCAGGGGAGCACGGGAGAGTCAGAGTGCGTGTGCACGTCCAGAGCCTCGGGCAGAAGGAAACGGGGCTAGCAGCCAGAGACGCAGGGTTCCCCCAGCTGGAGGCAGGCCGGTGCAGGAGCCTGACCTGGCTGCCCCAGAGCCGCCGGCCATCCGCCCCCGGGGTCTTGGCCCCCAAGGGCATCTTCCTGGAGGAGGGGCTGCGCTGGGGCTGTGGTGGCTGGGCTGGGTGTGGAGGGTGCTCAGAAGCCCTTCCCGGCTCCTGCCCACTTGCCACAGCCAGGTCACAGCCTCCCAGACCCTTGGACGCAGCCTCCCACCTTGGGCACGTGGCGTTGGCCTGTGCGCGCAGCCAGCTCTGTCTCCACGCAGGCCGAGCCCCTGCGCCAGGCTGCCTCCCTCGGCTGAGTGAGATCTGGCCTCCCTGATCTGCGTGGGGCGCCCCCTCTCTGCCTGCTGCACAGCTTCCCTGTTCACTGGGCACCTGGGCGTCTCCCGCTTGAGATATCCAGGGTTAGCCAAGGGTTCAGAGCCCGGAGTGTGCTTAAGAAGCCGAGATAAGGGCCACTGAGCTGTATGGGCCCGCCCTAGGTGTGCATCTCCCCCCAGGAGCCGGGCACTGTGGTGCCCACGTCAGGAGTCACCAGCGATGGATACAATGTAGCAGGCACCACACTGACCACTGCCCACACCCTCACCAACCTGGTTACTGCCAACAACCCGCAAGGCAGGTGCTGCCATCGGCTTCACACATCTCACCTGGCCACACAGCCAGCAGACTGGGTCAGGCTGGCTCTGGAGTCAATGGGGCTAGCCACTGCGCTGTACTGCCTGGGTGGGACTCCAGCCTCAGCCTCAGAGTGCTGACGCCCAAGTGCTGCTGCCCACTTCCAGGAGCTCCTAAGTGACCGGAGTCACCTTGTGACCTCGTCCTTCCCATCCCTGGCCTCAAACCACCCCCGCTCCCACAGGGCTGCAGACCAAACGCTGAGCCGTGCCCATCTCTACCACGGGTCAGGGGCTGTCCACGGCCGGTGCTGTCGCCACCCAGCAAAGGCTGCCTAAAGGCTATTCCTTCCCAGGGACAGACACGAACACTCACTGCCACACGCAGAAAGGGACCTGTCTGGGGGTGGAAAGCTGTTCACCAGCATGAGGGTAAACAGGCCCGAAAGGGTGCTGGGTGGGCTCCCGGGTGGACGGAGCGTGAGCTCTGGGCCCTGACACTGGAAAGCTCCAGGGCTGCTCCACAGCTTCCTACGCCTGCGGAGCTGCTGGCCCAGGCTGGAGTGGTTCTGGGCAGCTGTCCCCATGCCACACACGGCCCTGCCTCTGCGAAGTCAAGATCTGCTCAAAAGTGATTTGCAGACCCTCGAGATGCCCGTGGCAGCCCGAGTGATGGTGGAGGGTAGGAACAGTCCTGCTGCGGAGTGTCCCTTGGGGGAAGGCTGGGACCACCTGCAGAGCTCCTGGGGAATGGGCAGGACTCTGGGCTGCTTCCAAGGCTCTACCTTATTTTCTGCGGGAGCTCTGATTTCTTTAGGCCCCTGTCACACACAGGCTAGTGTCTACCTTCCCAGCCGACATAAGGACTGGCAGGGTCACGAGTGACAGCCATTTTCAGATGTGACAGAAACACACTGCTGCAGAGACCAGGGCAAGGTGCAGAGACACCAAGGAGCAGACACTCGCGCAAAACACACTCACTGAGCACCTGCTGCACAGCAGATTCTGTGGGGCACTGAGAAGACACACACCCAGGAAAACACCAAACAGGCTGACACAACAGGCAGCTCCCCCTGTACAGGATGGGGTAGGGAACAGGCTGACATGACAGGCAGCTCTGTGCAGGATGGGGTAACAAACAGGCTGACAAAACAGGCAGCTCCCCCTGTACAGGATGGAGTAGGAAAGGCTGATATGACTAGAAGCTCCTGTTCAAGATGGAGTAACAAACAGGCTGACACAACAGGCAGCTCCCCCTGTGCAGGATGGGGTAGGAAATAGGCTGACATGACAGGCACCCCACCCTGCTCAGGACAGGGTAGCAAACAGGCTGACACAACAGGCAGCTCCTCCTGTGCAGGATAGGGTAGCAAACAGGCTGACACAACAGGCAGCTCCTGTGCAGGATGGGGTAGGGAACAGGCTGATGTGACAGGTGGCTCCCCCTGTGCAGGATGGGGTAGGGAACAGGCTGACGTGACAGGTGGCTCCCCCTGTGCAGGATGGGGTAGGGAACAGGCTGACATGACAGGTGGCTCCCCCTGTGCAGGATGGGGTAGGGAACAGGCTGATGTGACAGGTGGCTCCCCCTGTGCAGGATGGGTAGGGAACAGGCTGATGTGACAGGCAGCTCTGTGCAGGATGGGGTAGGGAACAGGCTGACGTGACAGGCGGCTCTCCCTGTGCAGGACAGGGTAGCACAATCAACAAGCATAACATCAATGATGATGTTTCTTAGATTCCCAGAGCATAAACCCAACGAAGACCTGGGGACAGAAACGCAGCCCCCTTGGAACAAAGCCATCCGCACCCCTGCAAATGCACTAGGCCTGCCCTAGCGTGGAGCCCAAAGACCTGGCTTTGGGAGCCTGGTATTTCACTCCCTCCACTACTGAAAAACACTGCATTCACACACTTGGGCACTGTGACAATCCCAGGAGACATGCGTGTGCCAGACATAGGACCAGCATGCAGGAGGTGGGCACAGCCGCCCCGTCCATGCTCCCCCTTCCCTCCCTCGGCCTCCTGCTCTCTGAGGTTTCACGCGTGCTGAGACTCGATTGTCTCTGGGAGCCCAGGACTCAGGGATGACAGCCAGCCCAGGTGAACGGCAAGCAGCCCCGGGGTTTGGAGCAGGGAATCGGGCCTGGCCACCCTGGCCACTCCTCCCACATCTGGGCCAACCAGAGGTCAGTCTGCTTAGACGGCCCTCCTTTCAGGGCAGGGGACAGAACCCAGTGAGGCCACCCTGAGGGTTCAGTTGCAAGGGCAAGGCCCGGCTCAGCCCTGCTCCCTGTACCTGCTACACAACCACAGCAGGGGACAGACAGCGAGGCTGGGGGGGCACATGGTGAGGCTAATGGGGGGGACAGCAAGGCTGGGGGGGACAGTGAGACTGGTGGGGGGGACAGTGAGGCTGGTGGGGGGCAGACAGTGAGGCTGGTGGGCGGGGACAGACAGTGAGGCTGGTGGGGCAGACAGTGAGGCTGGTGGGGACAGTGAGGCTGGTGGGTGGGGACAGACAATGAGACTGGTAGGGGACAGTGAGACTGGGGGGAACAGTGAGGCCAGTGGGGAGCAGTGAGGCTGGGGGGGACAGTGAGGCTGGTGGGGGACAGACAGTGAGGCTGGTGGGTATAGTGAGGCTGGTGGGGGACAGTGAGGCTGGTGGGGGACAGACAGTGAGGCTGGTGGGTACAGTGAGGCTGGTGGGGGACAGTGAAGCTGGGGGGGACAGTGAGGCTGGGGGGGACAGTGAGGCTGGTGGGGGGACAGACAGTGAGGCTGGTGGGGGACACAGTCAGGCTGGTGGGGGACACAGTGAGGCTGGTGGGGGACAGTGAGGCCAGTGGGGAGCAGTGAGGCTGGGGGGGGACAGTGAGGCTGGTGGGGAGCACAGTGAGGCTGGCAGGGGATACACGGTGAGGTTGGTGGGATGGCCTCCTCCCTCTCCCTCTCCCTCTCCCTCACCCCCGCTCTCTGTTTCCCTCTGCCTCTTAACCACTGCCCCCCCCCCCCCGAGGCATAGGACAGGGACTTTTGGACACCCGTGAGCCAGGCCCTGTCTGGACCCTTGCTCAGTCCTCTCCTGCATCCCTACTGGGGGCCCTACACCTCTCTTGGTCACCAGGCTCCTGCCCTGCAGAGGCCACAGCCAGAGCCCAGGGCACCTCATTACTCACGCCCACCCCAGGGCCTCTCATCACTCACGTCCACCCCAGGGCCTCACTGGAGCCAGACCCTGCTCCCGGGCCTGAGCCCCTACCTGCTCACTGTCTCGGCGACAAGGCAGGAGTGGGCAAGGCAGGCAGGGACAGGGCTGTCCAGGCCTGTGTGGCCTGTGGGGTGAGGAGGGACATGGGCTGGACTCCTCCTCCTGTGCTGACCGCACTGTTGCTGGCAGCTGGCCTCCATGCTGCCTGTGTTCCCAGAAACAGACGGTTTTTCCCAGTAAGGAAAGCTCCCCCCGGGCCCCGCCCCCCTCACCGTGAGCTTCTCCCCCCGGCCCTGTCCTCACCGCAGGAGGCCCCTGAGCACTTGAGACTCCTCAGGCCTGACCTAGGGCCAGGAGCGGGAGCAGAGCAGGGGCATCTCCCGAAGTCTGCGGCTGTTTTGGTTCCCAGACAACTGCTCTGGGCTCTGAGGCCAAGCACAGGTACGGCTGGAAGCAGCAGCCAGCATGGCCCTGGAGAACCTTCCACCACAGGGACTGCAGAGGAAGCTCTGTGGGGTCGCCTCTGCCCCCTACTCTAGGGGTCAGGGGTCAGAGGTCAGTCCTCAGATCTGCTCGGGCCCGGGTGCCCCACCTGCTGTCCCTCCCAGCTTAGCCCTCTCATCCAGCCCTAACCCTGGAGCCGGGAAGACCAGGGAGTTCTGGAGTGAGGTCACTCCTAGGCCGCTGCCCTGCTCATCCTCCTTGGGGGCCTCCTGGGGGCCCAACTGACCCCAGCAAGGCCCAGAGGGAGGGGCTGGCAGACTCTTCTGTCCCACCCCCCAACCCGCCACTCACACTCCTTCATCATGCCGATGTCCACGCAGCGCTTCAGCCTGCAGGCCTGGCAGTGGCGCCGGTTGTCCTTGGTGATGCGGCAGTCCCCGCTGAAGGGGCAGGTAAACAGCGCCTTCCGCTTCATGCTGCGCCTGGGAGACAGCAGGGCTGGCCTGGGTCGGGGCTCCGGGCCTGTGTCTCACAGCGCCTGGCTGCGGGGGCCATCTGTCCGTGGGGACTTCAGGTCTCCGCTTCCCCTCAGCCGGGCTGAGTCTCTCCACGGCCCATGCCTTCTGGGAGGCAGGGGAAGCTAGGTCCCCAGGGACAGAAAGCAGCAAGATCTCTTGGGAGGGAGCCGGCCCCCGACCCAGTACCAGGGCTGGCCTCCAATCTGACGGCCTCTCCTGCTGCAGCCCCCAGCCCCCTCTCAGGGAAGGCCTCGCTTTCGTGTCCCAGGGCAGATGACAGCCGAAGCTGGGGACAGCAACTTCCAAGGGGCTGTTGGCCTCAGAAGCAGCGCCAGCTCCTTCCCACGGCAGACACGGGTTCAGATCCCCACTGAAGGCAATGCAGTGCTCAGGCTCACGAAGACACACACGGGGCAGCCGCTCTCAGCCTTCCTCTGACAGAGGAGCAGGAGGGCTGCACTGACTGAGCCACGGATGGAGGAGGCACAGCTGCGGACTTGAGCCCTTCCCGACTCGCCGCGTCACAGGCGGCACTGCCAACCCAGCCAGAGCGGCAGAGTGAGGCTAACAGTCGGGATCCCGTAGGGGTCTGAGGCTCAGCTCTGAGCTCCATGGTGTTCTCCAGGCCCAGAAGCCCTGGGCCCACAGCACCAGAGGCCGGGGAGTGCCTGCTGCTGGTCTCGGGGCTCTCCAGTGCCGCCCCCGTCCCCCGGGCGCAGGAGGCCCAGTGTAGGGAGGGGCAGCGCCAGGCTGTCAGGGGTGGCTCAGGGCCTAGTCTAGCTGGCCCCCGGCAGGCCTGCCCAGCACAAAGCACTCAGACTACACGCAGGCCTGGGCCACCTGGGGTCAACACGAAGCCGCTCACCTCTCACCCTTAAGCTCGCCGCAGCTTTCCTGAGGGGCAGCAGAGCCTGGAAGCCCATCCCGGAAACCAGCCTTGGTCTGGGCACGGCGCCTGCAAGCCCAGGGCAGGCGGGTGGGGCAGGGAGGCAGGCCTCTCCTCCGCTTCCCCTGTGGTCCTCGGGGGGCCTCCACTGTCACCACAAACACTCACTGCTCCAAACCAAGACCACAGCCTAATTCAGAGCAATCCCTCACTGCCACAGCGGCTCCGCCCTCTCATCCACAGCCTGGCCTGGCCCCTGGGACCACGGGCACTCCCCAGAGAGGCAGGCCCAGGACCCCTCAGAAGCCCTCAGCCCCAGCCAGGCCGGGCTCCCGGGCCTGCTCAGACCCTCAGGACTACCAGCAGAGACAACAGGAGGGCCCTCCAGAGTGGGGGGTGGGTGGCACACAGGGAGGAACCCCCGGGCTGCAGCGTGAGGCCCAAGGGGGCCGAGAAGGGCACTCAGGGCCAGGCCCGGGCACATGCCGAGGGGCATGGGACGGAGGTGCCCTGTTCTGCCACCTGCACCCCGCCAGGCCTGGGCCCTCCTACCCTGCAGGCTTCACCTCAGCTGAGAGATGAAAAAGGCAGCTAAAAACGGAGCTCTTAAATTATTATTAATTTAATAACCCAGCGCCAGGGCAAGAAGCTCTCTCACCAGCTCCCACAGCCAGAAGGGCCCTTCCTGGAACCCAGCTCCCGAGCTGCACTTTCAGGCCTGTCCAGGCCGAGGTGGCGTTAGTGGGCATGGTCCTACTGGCCCAGAGGCCCTGTCCCTCCCCGCTTTCCTGCCCTCCTCCAGCACTGGGAGGCCCCGTGGAGGCCAGGCCCCGCTGCTGGGCCTGAGCCCTGTGGTCCTGGACAGCCCATCACACCCAGCTCAGGAGGGGCAGGGGCGGGCGCCCAGCTAAATATAGATGCAGTTTCTAGAAAGCCGGGGTGAAAGAGGACACTGACCGTCGCTTGTGCCAGAGACCAAGTCATCTAAACATGCAGGAGACAGAAAGCTGACAGCAGCGCCAAGTGCTGGGGCCAGGGCCTCCCCCTGGAGACCAGCGAGGAGCCAGGGTCTCCAAGAAGACCCAGAGAGGGGCCAGGGCCTTCCCAGAAGACCAGCAAGGGGCCAGGGCCTCCCCAGGAGACCAGCAAGGAGCCAGGGTCTCCAAGAAGACCCAGAGAGGGGCCAGAGCCTTCCCAGAAGACCAGCAAGGGGCCAGGGCCTCCAAGAAGACCCAGAGAGGGGCCAGGGCCTCCCAGGAGACCAGCAAGGGGCCAGGGTCTCCAAGAAGACCCAGAGAGGGGCCAGGGCCTCCCAGGAGACCAGCAAGGGGCCAGGGTCTCCAAGAAGACCCAGAGAGGGGCCAGAGCCTTCCCAGAAGACCAGCAAGGAGCCAGGGTCTCCAAGAAGACCCAGAGAGGGGCCAGGGCCTCCCAGGAGACCAGCAAGGAGCCAGGGTCTCCAAGAAGACCCAGAGAGGGGCCAGAGCCTTCCCAGAAGACCAGCAAGGAGCCAGGGCCTCCAAGAAGACCCAGAGAGGGGCCAGGGCCTCCCAGGAGACCAGCAAGGGGCCAGGGTCTCCCAGAAGACCAGCAAGGGGCCAGTGTCTCCCAGGAGACCACTGAGGGGCCAGGGCCTTCCCAGGAGAGCAGTGAGGGGCCAGGGCCTCCCCAGGAGAGCAGCAAGAAGCCAAGGTCTCCCAGAAGACCAGTGAGGGGCCAGTGTCTCCCAGGAGACCACTGAGGGGCCAGAGCCTCCCCAGGAGACCAGCGAGGGGCCAGGGCCTCCCCAGTAGGCCAGCGAGGGGCCAGGGCCTCCCCCAGTAGGCTGGCAAGGGGCAAAGGCATCGGCAGGGACAGGAGCACCATCCCCAGGAGGCCAACATGGGGTCAGGGGCCTCCCAGGGCTCTGGCCGCACTGCGCTGAGAGGCCAGTGCCTGGGCAGAAATGGGAGCTGGATGCCTGGTGACCTGTGTGAGGGACAGAAGTGGTGACCACGGCCTAGCAGGAGCCCAGTGTGGAGGTGTACATCTTAAATACAGATCATGGCTGTTTGCTATAAACCAACAAAGCAGACGAAGGTAAAAGACAAGCCAACGCCACCCAACAGGGCCACACGCAGGCTCCTAGCAGCTGGCTTTAAACAGCCTGGGAGCAAGCCTAGTGTGGCAGAGTGTGTCCGGCACAGAGAGGGCCACCTGGCCGCGTGCCCCCAGGTGCTGACCATACAGGCCTTGGTGCGAGCTGCCTCCAGGAGCTTGCACCCTGGGTACCCGAGGCCAAGGGCAGCTCTGGCTGCTCTGTCCAGAGAAGCCAAAGACTGGGCCCAAATGCCCATCCATGAAGGCTGAGTTCACTGTGCCAGGCTCTCCATCACCACAATTGTGAAACAGAGGCAGCGGTGGCTGTACAACTGTTGTTAGCAGTGCTGGCCCTGCGGTGCACCGGTTAAGCCACCACCTGCAATGCCTGCATCTTGTATTGGCGCTCCGGAGTCCTGGCTACTGGGTGCTTCTGACCCAGCTCGCTGCTGGTGCACTCAGGAGGCAGCAGGTGATGGCCCGAGACCTTGGGCTCCTGCCACCCACTGGGGAGACCAGGATGGAGTTCCAGGCTCCTGACTTCAGCCTGGCCCAGCCTTGGCCATTGAGACTATCTGGGGAGTGAACCAGGGGATGAAGGATCTCCATCTCTCCCTCTCTCTCTGTCACTCTGCCTTTCAAACAAATAGTAAGTGAAAAGCTTAGAAGGAAGGGAGCAAGGGAGAGAGGGAGGAGGAAGGAACGGGTGCTCTGTCAGATGAGAGCTGGAGGCAGATGAATGATGACACCACATCCTCGCGTGTGTGACCTTTCACAAAACGTGTAACTTATTTGAAAGGCAAAGTGACAGAAACAAAGAGAAGGAGAGATAGACAGAGAAGCAGACACATCTTCCATCCACTGGTTTACTCTCCAGATGGCCACAGGCTGCAGCATGCTGACGCCTGGGTCCCAGAACTCCACTGGGGTTGCCCTTGTGGGCGGCAGGGGCCCACGTCCTTGAGCCCTCACTGCTGCCTCCCAAATGCGTGAGCAGGGAGCTGGACCAGAAGCACTGGGCATCCGGGACTGGGGCTGGCGCTCTGATCCAGGACGCGGGTGTCTCAGCGCTGGCTCCACCTCCTTTCCTGTGCAGTGAGCCTGCTGGCCGGGAAGCCCCCAGGAGGGGTGCAGAGCTGCCTGTGGGGAGTGGCACGCTCTGCCTCCGTGCTTTGACTGTTTGCTGCATTGTCTGAGCCCACAGGCAAACATTATTTTGTGAAATGTCCACCCCACTAGAAAACCAGAGGGAAATACAGGCTTTGATGGATCCTTCCGTGTTTAAGTCCTGATGCACAACCTGGGCAGTTACTTAGCCTCCCTAGGCCTATACAACAGAACAGCCCTGACGACAGGGCACTGTGGACGGCAAAGGCACTCAGGGGAGGGAGGGGCGGGGGCCCGGGCGCAGACGCCACGTCTCACACCTGCTCTCGGGTCAGGGTGTGGCTTGCATGCTGTTGCTCCTCAGTCCAGGGCAAACCTCCCCCCTGCCCCCGCGCAGTCCCAGGGGCCGAGGAACCCTGACTGGCAGGAGACCCTTGGCCCAGCCCTTCTTCTCTGCTGCCTGCTGCTCGGGGGTCCCAGGGTGGCAAAGGGGAGGGAAGGAATGCCTGTCCCCGGGAGCAGAGGCACCGCAGGTGCTGCGCCACCCACCCACAAAAACGGTCTTGTCCCCTGCAGACCCCAGCCCCACAACCACCTTCCAGAACGGTCCACCCCCACTCTGCAGCGGCAGCAAAAGGCACAGGGAGTTGAGTGGTTCTCGCCATGTCACACAGCCTGGAACTAGGGTCTGACTCAGCGCATCCGGTCCTCATCACAAGCCACCGACTCTCCATCCATGCTGGGGCACCAACCAAAACTGTGGGGCTGTGAGGGGCCTGGATGCGCGCAGAGAGGGTTCTGGGAGAGCTGAGGCTGAGCCACGCATGACGTCCTCAGGACACAAAGCAAGGGCCCAAGGACACGTGAGGTCTCTGAGCCCTTGCACTTGTCCTCGGGCAGATCCCCGGCCTCCTCCACCCAGCACCTCTCTTGTCCACCACGGGAGACGCGCCTCACCCCTCCCGCTGCTGCTGGCCTGGCACAGGCTTCCTCCTGGCCACTCCTCAGCCGTGCCCTGAGCCGCACACGCCCTCACGGCCTCTCAGCTCCTGGCACTTTGATCCTCTGGGCACCTCTGCCCAACTTCTCTGCCTCCCTTCCTGTCCAGAGTCTGCGAGAGGTCCACACACAGCCTGCTGATTCCCCTCACGATCCTCAACCTCCCCACGCCACCCTGTGCTCCCTGCACCCCTAAGACCCATCCTTACAGGGTCTGGGGGCTCACAGCTGACACACGAGGTGCAGGCAGGAGGAAGGCAGCACGGAGCAGCAGACAGAAGACGCAGCACCGGAGGGCCTGTGGGAGGAGCTGACCAGCAGCGGCCTCTCGTCCCCGGCCAGAGCAACGGGACAGTGGTCTCTTTCCCCTTCCTTCCTCCCTGGGGCCCGACTGAGTCTTGGGCTTGCCGGCTGACCACAGTGGCTCCCGGGCCACTCGAATGGTTGAACTAACGGTCAAGCATAATGGCCAGGCCCCAGGGCCCAACAGGAAGCAGTGTTTCCGAGAACCACCAGCCGAGGGCCTCGCCCCTGCACGGCATGCACTTGCCACCTCACGCCAGAGCACCAAGGCCACCGTCCCGGGACCCGAGTTCCACTGACAGAAGGAACAGCAGGGTCCTCCAGCCATGGGGCAGGGGCAGGGAGGACCCGCGGGACCCGCGGGGGTTCTAGGTGCATGGTGGCCGCGGAAGCTGGGCTGGCGGGCACTGAGCGCCACTCCAGGGACACGGCTCATCACCAGCGGCCCATGCGTTTCCTGCTCGGCTGTGCCGACCGCTCCTGTCTTGGTGTCGGGGGACTGCGGTGAATCCTGACACTGCCAGCAACAGTCATGAGAGTGTGAAAGCAGGGCCGTCGCTGCCCCGCTCGTCTGCCCAGAAATGGCCTCAGGCGTGCTGCAGGGGGCAGAGTCCACAAACAATGAGGATCAGCTCTGTGTGTGCTGTGTGTGCTGTGTCTGTGTGTGCTGTGTGTGTGTGCTGTGTGTTGTGTGTGCCGTGTGTGCTGTGTGTCTGTGTATCCCATGTGTGCTGTGTGTGTGCTATGTGTGCTGTGTGTACTGTGTATGCTGTGTGTACGCTGTGTGTCCTGTGTGTCTGTGTATGCAAACCTGTGTGCTGTGTGTGTGTGCTGTGTGTTGTGTGTGCTGTGTGTGCCGTGTGTGCTGTGTGTCCCATGTGTGCTGTGTGTACTGTGTATGCTGTGTGTCCTGTGTGTCTGTGTATGCAAACCTGTGCGCTGTGTGTGCTGTGTCTGTGTGCTGTGTGTGTGTTGTGTGTGCTGTGTGTGCCGTGTGTGCTGTGTGTCCCATGTGTGCTGTGTGTGTGCTGTGTGTGCTGTGTGTACGCTGTGTGTCCTGTGTCTGTGTATGCAAACCTGTGTGTCTGTGTATGCAAACCTGTGTGCTGTGTGTGTGTGCTGTGTGTGTGTGTCTGCATCTGTATGTGTCTGTGCACGTCTGTGTGTGTGTGCTGTGTCTCTGTGTGTGTGCTGTGCATCTGTATGTCTGTGCACGTGTCTCTGTGTGTGCACATTGCTCTGTGTGTGTGTGCTGTGTCTGTGTGTCTGTGTCTGTGTGTGTCTGTTCATGTTTATCTCTGAGTGTGTCTGTATGTGTCTGTGCACGTGTCTCTGTGTGTCTATCTCTGTGTGTGATTGCTTATTTTTATAGATCAAACAAAATCTGAGCCAAACCACAGACTTGCTGGTTCCTGAGAAGGTGCAGTTGGCTCAGTCCCCAGGACAGGAACAGTGAAAACACTGGGCAGACGGAGGGCAGGGGACAGAGGCAGCTCCTGCCCCAGTGCCCAGCCTTGCAGACTGTGGCTGTGGGTGTGTAGGGAGGGGCCGCCCTGCACCCACACCGCAGGTTTCTGGCACGCGCACGGGCAATGCCACCTCCCACACCTGGCCTTGGGCACGACTCATCCTCCGTCTCCCAGTCTTCACATAGCTGTCTCCTGGGGACCCAGCCCCGCAGCGTGATGAGGGCGGCAACCACAGGGGCACTGGAGGGATCTGGGGAACTGGCGACTCCAATTCCCTAGATCGAGAAGCAGCCAGCTACGCATCTGGGGCAGGAGGCTGGGGGTGGGGGGTGAGGCATGGACTCGGCGAACCAACCCAGCGGCCACAGAGAGCCCCACGCAGCCAGCTGCCAGACAGCAGCGCCCAGGTCACGGCTCCCCTTCAGGCCTGGGAAGCAGTGAGCGAGGGCGGCTGCTGGTTGCTGAGACCTGCGACTCCCACAGGGCACAGCTCCACCCAGGCACTGGCCCCGCACACTCAGAAGACGTTTACCGCCATCTGCGTTCCAAACACCGTGGCACCCACGTGCGTCACCTCCTCAGCCCTCACGCCAGCTGTGTGGGTGGGACACTGACACAAGCACACACGACTGAGAGGTCACAGCGGCACCCCCGCCTGTCTTAGGCTGGGGTCTCCCTTTGGCCCCCGCAGCACTCTCCCACACGGGCTGGGACCCAGGCTGTCGGGGAGAAGCTGGCAGAGCACAGGGTGGGAGGGTGGGGCCAGCCCTACCGGGATCCTGAGCTCGTGAGGCCTGGGGCTTCCGTGGGGCACTGGGAGGGCAGAGCTCAGGTGAGCGACGTCCCGCGGAGCCCAGGATGAGAGAAGCGAGCCCTGGTCAGGAGCCTGCGGCTCCCGTGACACGACACCCCAGGGCGCCCTCCCGGGAGAACCTGCCCCCCAGCCCTGGTGTTGGCCTCACCTGAAGAAGCCCTTGCAGCCCTCACAGGTCATGGCGTTGAAGTGGAAGCCGGTGGCCCGGTCACCGCACACCCCACAGATCCGTGGCACATTCCGGTCGAAGTCGCCAGGGTCAGGCAGGGAAGTGCTAGCTGCCACGGCCTCCATCCCTGCAGGAACCAGGCCAGGGCCGCATCAGGCAGTCAGGCGGGGCTGGCAGGAGGCCCTCCTGGTGCAGCCCTCACCTACCGCCCTCCCGCCCAGTCACTCGGACACTGCACCTCAGGCTCCTCTGGGCCGGGCGTCCAGGTCCCAGAGTACGCCCACGCGTGTCGGTGCTGACGGCCCTCGGGACAGACCTGACCTGGCCGGCAGCTCTTCCCTGCCCTGTGTGAGGCAAGAGCCTCATCCCCCACTCAGAGCCCCCCCCCATCTCACACGGGGGCTTCCGTGCCTGGCCAGAGCACCCAGCCTTCGCCAACTGGCCTGCACCTCTTCTCAGGAAGCAGCAAGCCTGCCTCTTGCTGGGCCCGGAGCCAGGCTTGGGGCTGACCCCAGGACGCCTCGGGATGCTCCCTGTTCTCCCAGCTCTATCCGAACCCTTACAAGGGACAGGAGGAGACATGGGCGCTGGGGTCCTGGCCCCGTGTGCCTGTGGGGGTCTCAGCTGCACTTCCGCTTGGCAAGGCCCCTCCCTCCACCCCAGCCCTCAGCAGCAAAGCCGGCGTGGCAGCACCTGAAGCAGCAGGCGGCGAGCGGGGTCCTGGGATCACAGGATCTGCAGGGAAAGGGGAGACACCACGTTAACACTGCTCCGAGTCCCCGCCAGTCCTCCACAGAGGCCAACAAGCAGGCCCAAGACCGCCGGGCAGGGGCTGGAGACCTGGCGGAGGTCACTGGGTCTCCGCTGGGGGGGTCTCCTCCGCCCTCTCGTGCTGCCAGGAGGGAGGAGCGGCCTACTTCGAAGGCGACCTGCAGCTCTCAAACCCCCAGCTGAGTGTGGGAGGGAGGTGCTGGCCTGGGCTGGAGCCACAGTGTGCCTGGGACAGGAGCCCCTGGACCTCTCCACAGACACAAAACCCAACTCAGCGGGCGCAGAGCGCCATGCCCGGGAGCCTCCTCTCCCCACGGGCCACCCTGCACTGTACCAGCCCTCTGCTGCTACCCCTTCCCAGGGAAGGGCAGTCGAGGCCCGGCGCTGCCGATCGGCCCGGGAGCTCAGCTAGGAGCCTCTGCTCCTCCGCCTCTCCCCACCCCCAGCCCGAGGCTGACAATCCTCAAAAGCCCGGGGCCACGGCAGCCACGTGCACCCCTGCTTGGGCTTCTCCCAGTCAGTGGCTTTCCCTGGGAGAGCCCACCCTCTCCTCCCCTTGGGGGTCTCGGCGTCTTTGTGCGCACGGCTCTGGGGGTTGCTCCGCTCTCGTCCAGGCAGGAGGCGGGCAGCAGCGGCCAGCCACGTCATTCACCCCACAGTCAGCCACGAGAGGCAGAGGAGCAGATCCTGCCAGCAGGGCTCCTTCCTCCAGGCCTGCGCCCCACCCCCCGCACTGACCCCCGTGCTGACCTTGCCTCAGCAGAAACAGAACTCCACTTCCTTCCAGTCATCGAGACCGCAGCCGCCCCTCCCACACACGTGCCGCCGTCTCCCAGCCGCATCCTCGCAAAGCGCACCTGGGAGCGGCCTGTGGGTGGGGGCTGCGTGTCCCGGGCAGAGCCCCCCGGCTCAGCCTCACGGCACCACGTGGGCCAGACCCTCCTCGGAGCCCTGAGCAAGCTCAAGCTGTGACCGAGGAGGACCAGGGACGCAGCCCCCAGGGTCCCCCTCTCAGCTTTCTCCACACCCCTGAGAGGCCAGGGGAGCCGCCACAGGCTGAGGTCTCCAGGGGGAACCAGCAGGAGCCTGGCAGCCCCGTCCCTTTTCCAGGTTGCCCGGGGAGACCCAAACAGGCCCCTGATTGAACCTGGCCGCAAGCTCCCAGCCCGGCTAGAAAGAAATGCAGAGCAAAGCTCTCTTGGTCTTCTGTTCTCAGAGGGAGCTGCTCGGCGGGCTCCACGCCGAGGGGCCTGCGTGTGGCGGCCACGGCGCATGCGCACGCTCCCCGCGCCGCCCCTCTGTAACAGCACGGCAGCGCCACAGCCAGCAATGCTCTCTCTCCTCCATCCTCCCAGCGCACTCCCTTCTCTGCCCAGGGCAGCCTCAGCGTCACCTCCAGGGTGAAAGCCCGGGCAGGGGGTGCTGTCTAGACCATGCCTCCCCGCCTGTCTCCCCAGCCCCCTCCGCACACACATGTGCGTCAGACGCATCGAGGATGGCGGCCAGCACACCCACACGCCAGGCCCAGCGGGCATCTCAGAACCCCCAGGCCTCAAGCTTCCCAGGCCCTCCGCGAGGGGTTTGCCGCCTGTGCCGGAGTCTTCTCGGGCCGCTCCACTCCGGGCAAGCGCGCCGGCACGCACAGGCCCAATCACATGCAGCCTCGATGGCGGCCCCCAGCCAGCTCTGGGCCCCACCTAGGCCGAGCAGACCAGGCCGCTCACTCGAGTCTGGGGAAGGACTGGCGGGGCCACCACACTGCACCAGCAGCACCACCGTTGTGCGTTGTGCAACATTCGTCAGGAAAGCGTCACCCGAAACCACAGCCTCCACAGTGCTTACGCAGAGCGCAGGGGAAGTCCGCAGGATGCCCTGACCTGTGTTTTAGACCCAAGGCGCCCCAGGCAGAGAGGAAGGAGGCTGCCATGGCCTTCATCCCAAGAGGCGTGTCGACAGCTGGGAGCTGCTCCCAGGGCCACTTCCTGGGCAGGCGTGGAACACTCGCCTGGCTGGCCAGGCACACGGGGTGACCCGCAACCCAGCAGCACCAGGAAAAGCTGACCCCGAAGGTGGTGGAAGTGTCGGGGGCTGGAGGTCCGCCGTTCTTCCATTCACTAAGACTTTCCCACCTGCAGGCCACCTTGTGCCCTGGCGAGCACCAGGAGGAGGGAGGCCCCAGGGTCGGGGCAGCAGACACGTGCTTGGCTCAGATCGATTTCCACTCCTTATCGGCAGCAATTATTCCTGCAAGCTGCTTTTTTCCAGTGGAAACTCTGCCCTCAGCTTTGTCAACAAGATCTCTGGGCTGATTACTGCTCTGCAGGCCAGCAGCGAGGGCACCGACGGTGGCCGGAGCCCAGCAACCAGCCCCATCCTAAGCAGTAGCCCGTGCTCTGGCTTCCCAGCTGAAGAAACGGGGGCCGCTGAGGGCAGTGGTCTGTCCAAGGCCACGCACAAGGGCGAGTGCTCCCCCCCCTCCACGCCTGCCCCAGCAGCTACCCGGGAGAGTGCATGGTGCCATTGGAGAGGGCTGGGGGCCCTGATGTGGTCTGTGGGGGAAGACCCAGCACAGAGAACAGATTCAGCAGCAAGGGTCACTCAGCACTCCGAATGACCAGCTGCGGCCCTAGCTCCAGCATCCACAGCCAAAGGTGTGGACAAGGACCCAAGCCAGCCAGAGAATATTTTAGAAGGACGTGGCATACGCCGACCTGGCCTCTGCACTCTGGCTGGGTTTTCCTGGGAGACTAGCATGGAGGCACTTCCCACAGGTACCTGTTCCAGGTGAAAGCTGGGACATGTAGGCTCCCTGCCCAGTGACTGGGCGACAGAGCTGGACAATGGGGCAGCCCACGGGAACACAGCAAGGTGGGGGGAGGGCAGGCCCCGCCCACTCTGGGGGACCCAACCTCTGTGACTGTTGGCGCAGCTGACAGCTAAACAGGGTATCTTAAATAAGTAAACAAACAAATGGGGCCGGCGTTATGGTCTAGAGGGTAAGGCCGCTACCTGCCACTGCGGCATCCTGTGTGGGCGCCACTTCAAGTCCTGGCTGCTCCACTTTGGATCCAGCTCCTTGCTGATGGCCTGGGAAAGGCAGTGCAGGATGGCACAAGTGCTTTGGCCCCTGAACCCACGTGGGAAATCTGGACGATGCTCCTGACTTCTGGCTTTGGCCTGGCCTAGTGCTGGCCGTTGTGGCCATTTGGGGAGTGAACGAGTGGAGGGAAGCTCTCTCTCTGTTTCTGTCTCTGTTTTTGTTTTGCTCTCAGAAGAAAAAATTTTAAAATGGCTTCAGAACAATTGGCAAGACCTCCTCCCCTCTTCCAAGCCTGGCTCTCGTGCCCCAGGGCTCCCCAAGGCTAAGGGTCTGCCTGACGCTGTCCTCGATCCAGTCTGTGCACCCTGGCCACCCTGGTCAGGCTCCTTTTCCTCATCAGTCCTGAGTCACACAATCCTCTGGTGCTGCAGGCCCTGCTGTGCCTGGAGAGAGGTCTGTATCCCAACCCTAAGCCCTTGGCTCCCTGCCTCTGCCCAGCTGCACCCACTGCCCTGCTTCCTTGGCTACAGACAAGGACGCTGGGCACGGCCATCATTGCGGGAACTCTAACAGCTACCAGTGCACTCACTGGGGAACCCCTGGCGGGGACAGGACGCTTGCTCTCAGCCCTAAAATCTCCACCCAAGCACTGCCCAGAAAGCCACATTTTTGCTGAGCTGAGAACCTGACGACCTCAACCCCCATAGCTTCCAAAATGCTGGCTGCTTGCGGTGGGCATAAATGGACAGTTCTAATCTCTGCCAACACACACAGAGCAGCCGAGCCACAAGCTGGACTTCTCCAGAGAAGAGGGCCAGGGCCCCCGGTCAGCTTCACCACCTCCGCTGGGCTCGTCCTGTCCCCACCACCCGGTGAGGTGTCTTAGTATGTGTGCTGCAGGAGCCAGCACAGCCGGGGAAGCTCAGGAGCCCCACGGTCCCCCTGCCTGGGGCTAGGGCAGCACCGCCCCGCAGCCCCCCGCCCCCGACAGCTGGCAGTCAAGCCCTGTAGCAGGCTCCTGCCCTGGGACCCTGCTGAGGGTCCCGGGGTCCTCCAAGGTAGGTAGGACCCCACCAGCTGGGTAGTGGTAAGGGGTGGACGCTTCGCCTGGGTTCCTGCAACTTCCCTGAGGTCCTCACTCACGGCAACCATCACCGCAAGGCAAGCCGGCTGCCCCCCGTTCTGAGCTCAAGGACTCTCCCGGAAGAGCTGGTGAGGGCTGTGCTGTGTCTGGGCTTCTGTCCTCGCCCCTTCAAGCCCCCATGGGGGCCAGGGAGGCTTCAGGGCTCACGTTGCAGTGTGAGCTGTGGCGCGGGGCGGGCCCGTGGAGCGCCAGGGCACTGGGAGACAGGAGCCCACCAGCCACGCCACAGGGAACGCACACCCCTCTCCCCTCAACCGCTTCCCCAGTAAACCCACGGAGACTTGTGGAAGACTCGCAGATCTGGTTCAGGTTCTCAGCCGACCTGACCGGCCTTGACCACGGTGGAGAAAAGAAAATGCAGCCTCTATGTCACGGCTCAGGGGGACAGGCCGGAGCTCGGCCAAGGCCCTGGAGTAAGAACAGCAGGACCTGAGCTGGAAGGGAGAGTGGGGGAAGGCGCTCTGGGGAACCCAGCAGCTGGGACAGAGACACAAAGACCCGCCCAGCACAGCTTGACCCCGCCCTCGAGCCATCGCCAGGGACAACGTTCACGTGTCAGCATTTCAGGCCAAATACTGTCATCTGGAGAATCCTCCCCAGGGCCAGGAAACGTAGGAAACACAGGAGAACCCTGGCCCAGCCCTGCCCGTGGCAGCCACCTCTGCCACCCAGGCGTGAAGCCAGGATGGACTTCATCCCAGAGCAGCTGTCAGTGAGGAGGAGCTGGCAGGGTCTGCACAGGAGCAGGCTCCGCCCCCGCCCTGGCATCTGCCGATGCCCACCTGGGCCCCTGCACCAGGTAAGGGGGTTTCCACAGGCTGCCCCAGAGAAGTAGCCCAACAGAGCAGCTCCGAGGTGAGCAGGGTGAGGCCCCTCCCCTCACCACTCCCTACTTCTCCCAGGGCACCCCCTGGCCTGAAAAACACCCACAGCTGGGCTCATCTGTAGCCCGGATTGAAGTTTAACCGAGAGCAAAATAACCTGCTCAGGGAGCTGTTTTCCGCCCAGCAGCTCGGGGTGGGCCTCGGGGTGGGCACGAGGAGGAGGCTGGCCTCAGCCATCAGTTGCGAGGGCCCCATGCCCACCCTCACCCCACCCACTACTGTCAGCCAGCCTCAAGTGCAGGGGGGCAGCAGACAGGGTGGGGAGGCCTTTGGGAGCCAGGGACAGGGCACTGCCACAGTACCGAGCCACAGACAGGGACACCCACACCATCTGTTTTGTCCACTGAGATAGAACATGCAAGGTGTGTCAGAGAAGTCAATGCACTCCCTAAAAATGTCAGCTGGTACTGGTACTGGGCAATGCTCCCCTAGCCTCAGAGCTGGACACTGGGGTGGGTACAGCCCTGGGCACTGCTCCCCTAGTACCAGAGCTGGACACTGGGGTGGGCACAGGCCCTGGGCACTGCTCCCCTAGCACCAGAGCTGGACACTGGGGTGGGTACAGCCCTGGGCACTGCTCCCCTAGTACCAGAGCTGGACACTGGGGTGGGCACAGCCCTGGGCACTGCTCCCCTAGTACCAGAGCTGGACACTGGGGTGGGCACAGCCCTGGGCACTGCTCCCCTAGTACCAGAGCTGGACACTGGGGTGGGCACAGCCCTGGGCACTGCTCCCCTAGTACCAGAGCTGGACACTGGGGTGGGCACAGCCCTGGGCACTGCTCCCCTAGTACCAGAGCTGGACACTGGGGTGGGCACAGGCCTGGGCACTGCTCCCCTAGTACCAGAGCTGGACACTGGGGTAGGCACAGGCCTGGGCACTGTTCCCCTAGTACCAGAGCTGGACACTGGGGTGGGCACAGGCCTGGGCACT